AGTGGCAAAGAATGGCTGAATCGTGCATGTCAGGCACTCGACAATCCTCCACTTCGCTACGAAACAGAAGAGAGCCCTAAACTCAGAAAGATATTAATATCACCACGTCTTAAGCCGGCCATTCACGATCGCTCCAGATGGATGACATCCGAATGGATGACGTCCAAACGGATGTCGTCCAAAGAGGTACTACATTCACGGTCGCGTCACGCCAGTCGCGGTTTGTTGTCACTCTGTGAAGTGCGTGGTGTTTGCGATGGACGAAGAATTGTTACTAGCTACGGCAGTATGCCTGTATATTAAAAGGAGGAAACCAAAACGAAAGTGGTCAAAGCAATGGCTCTTAAACAGAAGCAATTTAAGTCACGTCAATTTAATTAGTGAACTGAGTTTGGAGCCGTCAGACTGGAGAAACTATTTACGAATGGATGAGTGTGCTTATTTCCGCTTATTGGGGCTAGTCACGCCTGTGATACAAAAACAGGACACGAATATGAGACAATGCATCAGTCCTCATGAAAGATTGTCAGCGACTTTGAGATTTTTGGCTTCAGGCATGAACTATGAAGAACTGAAGTATGTGACAGCTACTTCTCCACAACGTTTAGGAGTAATTATCCCCGAGACTTGCAGGGCAATACTGCAGTGTTTGAAAGGATACCTTAAGGTAAGGTCAGGATTATTACTATATTTGTTGAAATATAATTAGTTTCTTAATGTAATTAGTTTTTTACATTTAATTAGTTTCAATTAGTTCGTGAATCACATGACTGATGATGCCACTTAAGAGGCGAAACATGTCTCATAATATATTTTAACTTATTTGTAAAATACATGGCAACTCTCTATATTTATCAATAACATCAATAACGAAATCACGCCCCGACATTATGCAACTTTCGACTTGACTGGACGAAGGCTCGTGGCAGACTGGCATGAGAATGGACCACGTTTCCGCCACTCACGATACGATGGCGCGATGGAGTGATGGAGCGATCGGATGGATTATTGCTCGACAGAATATCCAAACAAGCTCACCGCGCCACGCCAATGGACTTCAGTTTCCGCATTCACGGTACAATTTTGGAGCGACACCGCGCCATTTGGACGAATGGAGCGATCGTGAATGGCCGGCCTTACAAGCGCTGAACTTCTGCAAGGAAACTGACTACAACAGCTGACATTCTGTTAACGTCCAGTGTTACCACATCACACAAAATTAATGACCCTATACCAAAACATATCCAGTGACGACAACTGACTCTTTTCCCCCCGTAAAGGCAACGTATTCAAAATCATGGCCACGGCTGTAAAACATAGGCCTGACACATGACATAACTATTTCATTTACATTATTTTAATCCACACACACACACAAAATATTCCGTAACAGATCTAATGCTCAACTATATTATATATTAAATTTTATACATCACACCTGGCATTATACACAGAATTATGTTTTGACACTCTGTAGATGAGCCGTTGTTTTTCCGAGACACTGGCTCTTGGGCAGAATTAATTCTTTTTACCAGAATGTTACGAATTGTTTCAATAAATTATATTTAAATACAGGATTTTTCACAACTAGCTCGGGGTGGGATTCAGGAGGTAAATTAAAGTAAAAGATGTCAATTTAACATTGATCCTATTTCCAACCATTGCGGAGCTATGCAGTTCTGAGGTGTGCGAAGGGAAAAATAAATTACGGTATTAAATCATTTGAATTTATTGTTACATTTATGAAATACGCCTTATAAGTACTGAAAATATCTGTCATAGCTTTGCTCATTCCAGACGGGAGTTTAATACCTTTCGAATCATTCCTGACGAACAAAGTGACGCTTTTAATGGAAGACATTGTATTCGATCTTCTTTCAGCGAATTTTGGTTATGGCATGATAAAAACCACGGGATTGGTAACCCTGCTTCAATACTCCGGCCATCAGATGCTCACGTACAAGAACATCGTGAGATTATACGATGTAGAGTAAACTCTGGTTTGGAATAAGCAAAGCTAAGCATCGAAAACTGACGGACATTTTGAAGAGTTATATCAAATGCAGCAATGAATTCGTGTGACTACGCTCATTAATTTTTTTTCCTACGCGTGCCCTGAAACATTCGTATCTCGGCAAAAGTCAGAAAACAGGACCAATGTCGTATAAACATTTTTTTACTCGAAATTACCTTCTGAATTACCACCCAGTGTATGGCAAGACTGATTATGAAACATCGTCTGTACCAATTCTTACACCTTAAATTCAGTAAATTCTAGTCTCTTCACACTGATCCTAGCACACTTATTCTTTATATCAAACTTTCACTCTCTGGCACCAGATGATCTCTGCTATGGACCACAGATCATTACAGGTTCAAATTTATTTACACTGCACGATGTATACGATATTTGAAGATGGCCGTCTTCTGGGTCGTTGCGCCGTGTAGTCTGGTAGAAGTTTACCGACGTTTAAGAGGTGATTATCGAAGCAAGGACCTCTGAAACGTCTGCAAACTTCTACCAGACTACACGGCGCAACGACCCAGAAGACAGAAATCTTCAGACTCAGTAAAAACCTCAAATCGTACTAAATGGTATTTAACACACATTTGAAAACTTGTGTCCTCTCTCATTTTTGGTGATTGGTTGTCATCAAAGTGATAAGAAATGCTTTATTATATTACGTACGTTCTATACATAAGTGGTAAATATCTCAATCAAAACCTGAACTCTTTCGACATTCATAGCCAAAGAGTTCCTCGTTAAATCCAGACAGCTATCAAAATAACTGTCAGTATAACAAAAGGCAATCACACAAAGACAGAACAAGTTAGACAAGTTAAACAGAGCAATCCTTTAGAAAAAGCAGTCAAAATCAACGAAGAAATATTCATTAAAGCGTAAATGCAACTATCAGCAATTTCATAAAAGTTAACAACAGAACGTAATTTTAATTTAAAAAGTGAAGTCTGCTCATGAGTCCAGAATTCTGGGGCACCCTTTGTTCATGGTACCCTCTCACACTCTGACAATGTTACGATGGACTCCTTTATCAAACTTCTGATGCCAAAATACTTATCATTTGTTCATAAACAAAACTGTAATTTTAAAAGAATATTCTCTTACGCTCACTGCCTTAATTAATAATTATTACACCTTAAGTGTACGGTTTCAACAAATTTTATGGACCATTTCAAAACTTACAAACCATTCACAAAGTGACGTAGCAAAATAACATCTCTAGTCCCAAAACCCCAACAAAAATGTGCAAAATGTTAAGTACACAAAGGCACAGCGAGTGCTACTAATTTTCTCACAGTTATCTAGAACAAGCATCCACTATACACCACACGTGTCTACCGCACACAAATTCCACATTAACAATCTTTCATCACGTAAATGTTCCGCGCCATTGCACCTGCCAGTCCAGTGGCAACAGCGAATTTGTAATTCTGCGGTTTACGACTACGTAACGACTAAACAAAGAAATAATAACAAGGCAGAAGGAATTCAAGAAGCCAATTCAATTCACCAAAAATGGGTTTTTTGTAAGGCCACAACATGCCCTTAGTAACAAGTCTTGAAAGTTTCTACGATGGAATGTGACAACGAGAATCAACGAGAGTCAACGAGAGTTAACGAGAGTCCCGCACATGCGCAATGAACATTCTCCTACACCCTCATTATTTCTATGTTCCTGTATGTCTGTCCTGAGCATATTATTGCTCGCTGAGGTATCATTATGCTTTAGTGTTATATGGACCGCTCCAATCATGTCAGAAATTCAAAAAAGATGTTATTGTTTGGCGGCAGAACACGGCCAATATTTCCTGGTCGCAGAGTTTCATTAACCTCGTATCCTATCCCGGCTTTCAGACTACGTACGTATTAATTTCTCTTACGGCGAAACTAAGACCAACCACAGATTAATTCGAATTTATTTTCATCCTTGGTGCATTTATCAGCGCTGAATAATAACCGGTGACTGACGTAAGATGCAGAAGAGATCGTGGCGTAAGCAAAGGCACGTGTCAGTTTCATGAAGGGACTGAGTAAAACTATGAAAAACCTTAGTCAAAGCTTGTGCGTTTGAGTCCTAGTAATTTGATTGTCCTATTACGTATTTTATTTCGGTGTTTTGTTGTGTATTCTGCAAACTTTCAAATAAATTGTGTGTGAAGTTCAACCGAGAAAGGATCTTATAAAGGTTATACATAAAATATAATATTTTAATGACATTATATTTAAGAAATAACTGTAAAATTCTGGTCACTTAAGCTGTCGTCTGGATCTGTTAAACCAATAAAATAAACCACGATTTGGTAAATAGCCAATAAGAAGAAATTGGAAAGAAATTGCAAGAATAATCTACGAGATATTTCCTCCGAAAATTATAAAATATCAACCTTGATAAATTAACAGACAGAGAAAATGAACTACACCTCTTTATAATTTTCAGTCAAAAGACAAACGACAGTCATACTCGTACGCGTGAACTATTTATCGACGTAAACTGAAATGTTTTTGACTCATTCCGTACTAAAGCTTCATGGTGTTATCTGCGCAAGCGCTGTTGTATCTACTACCATTAAAACCTTTCCACTCGATATTTCTGTGAACCTAACCTAACCTACAAATACAACAAAGTCTCGAATTGTTTAAGCGCAGTTTAAGTATGGACGAGTATTTGAAGCATAACGCGAGCACTCTGGCGGGAAAAACTATAACTCATCAAAAGTAACCAAGTAAGCACGTGCGAGGTTTATTTTAGTGCTAACATTTTCAGAAATGATCTTAAAAATGTATACATTCCATCACGTACAAACTTTCAAACTTTATATCACGTCGTACGTTGAGACAATTCACAGCTAAATGTAAATACACGGGGCATGGACACAGGGGTATGGGAACATACAACAATGCGATGCAGCTGGGTCTAATCCAGAGGCGACGTGTGGTTAAGCTTATCAAGAAATGGATATATAGAAGTGGGGCTTACTTGTACCTCACAGGGGGGTGGAGCGCTGCGATACGATGGCACTATCTTGAAGGTCACTGAACCCCGCGCCTCACGCTGAAATAAATTAAAATTAAAGGTCACAAGAACAAATCCGTAATACGTGAATATTATCCACGAACCTAGAAAGACAAGTCTATGATATGAACAACACAACGATGAATGCAGTTATTAAATAAGGGACTCCGAGTCCATTAGAATCTAGTTCTTAAGCATTCTCGTTCAGACTTCGATAGTTACACAAACCTCATTTTGCTGGTGTAAAAACCAATAGAACATTACGATTTGATAACCTTCCTCAAGGAATTACTCATTGCATGAAACAAGTATCTTCTTGTTACTAAGATGTTTCCACTCAATATGGATTATACTGTGAAAATACAGGGTGTCCACATTAAATCTCTCCCATTAACAAACGAATAGAAGCAAAACCTACGCCAGATAGAAACACGCGGTTTGCGGCACCCTGTAGGAAAACTCAAAAAGTTTATTTCCCTTTTTTATAGAGGTCTTGTAGTGGCGGCGCTGCAGTCGACAATATGCAAAGTGGCGTCTCCACAACTGGTAGCCGTCCTGTCACTAAATGGTGATTAACGTTCGTTTTCCCGTAGAAAAATGTATTATTATAATTTTATGTTGTTTAATACCCCTCACCTCTTGTAATTCTCTAACTCCCCTGCTACTGATTTGATTGAACCTACTCTGTAGAAACTCGTAATATTCCACATGCCAAATCTCATGTCCTTTGAAGGCTTCGATTACCATCCGGCCGGATTGTCACTACCTTCTACAACTGATGTTTCAATTACATACAAGGCTCAGAGATGGCAGCAGCTACATCAGATAGTTCACACATTAGTTCATATTTTCCTCAACAGATCGATTCTGTAGGCCAATATGAAATATTTGGTTAGAACAAATGAAATTCGTTGAGCTCGGACGTGGACCTCGAGGCGTTTTTACAATTATTGCTTGTGGAATTTCGCTGTATCGTTTGCTAAGTTATGTGTTTAGCCTTGCAGTTGTGTTTTTAGTTAAAGTTTATAATGTGATTACGATATTTTATTTTATTGTATATAGGTTTAGTTTTTTTAGATTTATTATTCCGGAAAGTGAGTCTGATTGTACCGAAAATGATGATGACAGTTCTCCAGAAACAACAGGCCCACCTGGTGACACCATGTCCGATATTGAAGGTACGTGTGCACTAATTTTTGTAGTTCGGGACCAGACTCCTAACTCATATCGAATTATGCAGAAATAAATGTTCTTTCTTGCGGGACACGTAATGAAGGACGACAAAACACATTTTATAATTTTACCTCCGGAAAATGAAAATTATTTTTTAAATATTGTTTTCAATATTTCAAAAATTTTCCTTAGTAAAATATAACATTAAAATTTATGTGATATTTTTCATATGTATGGGTGTAAAATTCTTTTCCTGGCGAATGTTTACATTCTAAGCCTCAAATACGTGAAAATTGTCCTGGCTATTTTCAACAGGATTTGGTAAATAGGCTTCGGTGTTAAAAGGGGCCGAGTCGTGCCAAAGAATGAGTCCAGGTCCAAGGCGCTTTTAGACATTTCGTAACAAAATTAAGTTTTTACGGTGAGGGGTTGTTAGCCTCGAGGACCACCCCTTGTTGGCTGTCCGCGACTGCCCCCTCCATAACTGCAGGACTTCTCAGGACGCGCGATGCCGTGGTGACAAGAGACCACCTAACATGGGGCCATGGTCTTACTTGAGGTAATTATTATTATTATTTATTATTGACTGCAAATGGGTTTATACCCGGTGGCAGTGTCCTACAATAACATACAAAACAATGAGACAGAACAGAACAATGAGATACATCAACACAATGAGACAGAACAAAACAATAAACAAAAGGACACAACAAAAACAATAAGACACAATAAACAATGAGATACAACAACACAGAGACAGAACAAAACAATAAAAAAGGACACAACAAAAACAATATGACACACAAACAATGGGATACATCAACACAATGAGACACAACAAAACAATAAACAAAGGACACAACAAAAACAATAAGACAATAAACAATGAGATACATCAACACAAAGACAGAACAAAACAATAAACAAAAGGACACAACAAAAACAATACGACACACAAACAATGGGATACATCAACACAATGAGACACAACAAAACAATAAACAAAGGACACAACAAAAACCATAAGACACAACATACAATGAGATACATCAACACAGAGACAGAACAAAACAATAAAAAAGGACACAACAAAAACAACACATCCCACTCAAAATCAACCAACTCATAAATTACAAAACCATCCAACCTCAAGTACTTAACTTAAAAAAAAAGAACTTAATACCACCTAGACATAAGACAATAACTGTAATGTATTACAAACGTCATGAACTGATGCACTCACACAACAATACAATGAGACACAACAATACAACATACCACACTCAAAATAAAACATCTGACACAATAAAAAAACACACATCCACTAATTAATCACAATACTTAAGAGTGGAATATAAAGTCCGCTCTCAGTACATGAAAATTTTATCCCAAAGAACTACAGCCCTTCATCACTTGGAGACTAAGACACTTCACTTCACTTATCACCATTTATTCCCAACTTAATAACCCTTAGCTTGTAACTACTTTTCTGACCCTCTTTCTAAAGGTGCCTAATTTACAGGGGAAAGACTCTAGCACGCCTGGAGGTAATTGGTTCCAGCTTCTTATGGTCCTATTTACAAAGGAATATTTGCCTACATCCGTTCTTTGTTTCCTAGTCCTAATTTTCCGAGTATGATCGTCCCTGCCCAGGTAGCATGGCTTTAATAATCTATCCTCTATCATTTTCCAAGCCCGGCCCCCCGTGTATGCTTTGAAAAGGGCGCACATTCGGGCTATCAATCTACGCTGTGCCAATGTTTCCCAACCAGATTCGTTCGTGAAATTAGCAAATTTAGCCGCTCTCTTCTGCACCCGATTTAGTGCTCTTACCTGTCCTTCCCTGTAAGGGTCCCAACACACAGCTCCATATTCAAGTATCGGTCTCACTAGCGACGTATAAGCTAAACGTTTCGTATTGTTATTTCCCTTTTTTAGTATACGCATTACGAAATGGAGAGCCTTCCATGCTTTAATTAGTGTATAATTCACATGATCTGCCCAGCTCAGATCACTGCGAATAAGTATTCCTAAGTACTTAAAGCTATTTGCCTCTGGAATTAATTGATCCCCAAAAAAGTAACTCAGCTTATCCTTCACCCTAGCTCTATTGAAGCTGACTGCTTTACTTTTACCTGGATTTATCTTCATTTCATTTTCTACCGCCCATTCCCATAATCTATTCATATCTGTCTGTAACTTATCAATGTCACTACTATCCATTATTTTCCTGTATACTATACAATCATCAGCGAAAAGCCGTATATTTGAATCAATGTTTTTCCAAATATCATTAACATAAGCTAGGAATAGCAAGGAACCTAATACGCTCCCTTGCGGCCTGTATCTGGCAAACTATTGTGGCGATCTTGTCGTGACTTCCATATGACGTTGCCCTACACGTGCCCTCATTTTGACATGAGTATGGTCAACCAGGTATTTACGGTTTAGCGTAAATAAGCTTGAGAAGATATGACCTTGAGAATTTGAAAGACCTGTATCTGGCAAACTATTGTGGCGATCTTGTCGTGACTTCCATATGACGTTGCCCTACACGTGCCCTCATTTTGACATGAGTATGGTCAACCAGGTATTTACGGTTTAGCGTAAATAAGCTTGAGAAGATATGACCTTGAGAATTTGAAAGACCTGTATCTGGCAAACTATTGTGGCGATCTTGTCGTGACTTCCATATGACGTTGCCCTACACGTGCCCTCATTTTGACATGAGTATGGTCAACCAGGTATTTACGGTTTAGCGTAAATAAGCTTGAGAAGATATGACCTTGAGAATTTGAAAGACCTGTATCTGGCAAACTATTGTGGCGATCTTGTCGTGACTTCCATATGACGTTGCCCTACACGTGCCCTCATTTTGACATGAGTATGGTCAACCAGGTATTTACGGTTTAGCGTAAATAAGCTTGAGAAGATATGACCTTGAGAATTTGAAAGACCTGTATCTGGCAAACTATTGTGGCGATCTTGTCGTGACTTCCATATGACGTTGCCCTACACGTGCCCTCATTTTGACATGAGTATGGTCAACCAGGTATTTACGGTTTAGCGTAAATAAGCTTGAGAAGATATGACCTTGAGAATTTGAAAGACCTGTATCTGGCAAACTATTGTGGCGATCTTGTCGTGACTTCCATATGACGTTGCCCTACACGTGCCCTCATTTTGACATGAGTATGGTCAACCAGGTATTTACGGTTTAGCGTAAATAAGCTTGAGAAGATATGACCTTGAGAATTTGAAAGACCTGTATCTGGCAAACTATTGTGGCGATCTTGTCGTGACTTCCATATGACGTTGCCCTACACGTGCCCTCATTTTGACATGAGTATGGTCAACCAGGTATTTACGGTTTAGCGTAAATAAGCTTGAGAAGATATGACCTTGAGAATTTGAAAGACCTGTATCTGGCAAACTATTGTGGCGATCTTGTCGTGACTTCCATATGACGTTGCCCTACACGTGCCCTCATTTTGACATGAGTATGGTCAACCAGGTATTTACGGTTTAGCGTAAATAAGCTTGAGAAGATATGACCTTGAGAATTTGAAAGACCTGTATCTGGCAAACTATTGTGGCGATCTTGTCGTGACTTCCATATGACGTTGCCCTACACGTGCCCTCATTTTGACATGAGTATGGTCAACCAGGTATTTACGGTTTAGCGTAAATAAGCTTGAGAAGATATGACCTTGAGAATTTGAAAGACCTGTATCTGGCAAACTATTGTGGCGATCTTGTCGTGACTTCCATATGACGTTGCCCTACACGTGCCCTCATTTTGACATGAGTATGGTCAACCAGGTATTTACGGTTTAGCGTAAATAAGCTTGAGAAGATATGACCTTGAGAATTTGAAAGACCTGTATCTGGCAAACTATTGTGGCGATCTTGTCGTGACTTCCATATGACGTTGCCCTACACGTGCCCTCATTTTGACATGAGTATGGTCAACCAGGTATTTACGGTTTAGCGTAAATAAGCTTGAGAAGATATGACCTTGAGAATTTGAAAGACCTGTATCTGGCAAACTATTGTGGCGATCTTGTCGTGACTTCCATATGACGTTGCCCTACACGTGCCCTCATTTTGACATGAGTATGGTCAACCAGGTATTTACGGTTTAGCGTAAATAAGCTTGAGAAGATATGACCTTGAGAATTTGAAAGACCTGTATCTGGCAAACTATTGTGGCGATCTTGTCGTGACTTCCATATGACGTTGCCCTACACGTGCCCTCATTTTGACATGAGTATGGTCAACCAGGTATTTACGGTTTAGCGTAAATAAGCTTGAGAAGATATGACCTTGAGAATTTGAAAGACCTGTATCTGGCAAACTATTGTGGCGATCTTGTCGTGACTTCCATATGACGTTGCCCTACACGTGCCCTCATTTTGACATGAGTATGGTCAACCAGGTATTTACGGTTTAGCGTAAATAAGCTTGAGAAGATATGACCTTGAGAATTTGAAAGACCTGTATCTGGCAAACTATTGTGGCGATCTTGTCGTGACTTCCATATGACGTTGCCCTACACGTGCCCTCATTTTGACATGAGTATGGTCAACCAGGTATTTACGGTTTAGCGTAAATAAGCTTGAGAAGATATGACCTTGAGAATTTGAAAGACCTGTATCTGGCAAACTATTGTGGCGATCTTGTCGTGACTTCCATATGACGTTGCCCTACACGTGCCCTCATTTTGACATGAGTATGGTCAACCAGGTATTTACGGTTTAGCGTAAATAAGCTTGAGAAGATATGACCTTGAGAATTTGAAAGACCTGTATCTGGCAAACTATTGTGGCGATCTTGTCGTGACTTCCATATGACGTTGCCCTACACGTGCCCTCATTTTGACATGAGTATGGTCAACCAGGTATTTACGGTTTAGCGTAAATAAGCTTGAGAAGATATGACCTTGAGAATTTGAAAGACCTGTATCTGGCAAACTATTGTGGCGATCTTGTCGTGACTTCCATATGACGTTGCCCTACACGTGCCCTCATTTTGACATGAGTATGGTCAACCAGGTATTTACGGTTTAGCGTAAATAAGCTTGAGAAGATATGACCTTGAGAATTTGAAAGACCTGTATCTGGCAAACTATTGTGGCGATCTTGTCGTGACTTCCATATGACGTTGCCCTACACGTGCCCTCATTTTGACATGAGTATGGTCAACCAGGTATTTACGGTTTAGCGTAAATAAGCTTGAGAAGATATGACCTTGAGAATTTGAAAGACCTGTATCTGGCAAACTATTGTGGCGATCTTGTCGTGACTTCCATATGACGTTGCCCTACACGTGCCCTCATTTTGACATGAGTATGGTCAACCAGGTATTTACGGTTTAGCGTAAATAAGCTTGAGAAGATATGACCTTGAGAATTTGAAAGACCTGTATCTGGCAAACTATTGTGGCGATCTTGTCGTGACTTCCATATGACGTTGCCCTACACGTGCCCTCATTTTGACATGAGTATGGTCAACCAGGTATTTACGGTTTAGCGTAAATAAGCTTGAGAAGATATGACCTTGAGAATTTGAAAGACCTGTATCTGGCAAACTATTGTGGCGATCTTGTCGTGACTTCCATATGACGTTGCCCTACACGTGCCCTCATTTTGACATGAGTATGGTCAACCAGGTATTTACGGTTTAGCGTAAATAAGCTTGAGAAGATATGACCTTGAGAATTTGAAAGACCTGTATCTGGCAAACTATTGTGGCGATCTTGTCGTGACTTCCATATGACGTTGCCCTACACGTGCCCTCATTTTGACATGAGTATGGTCAACCAGGTATTTACGGTTTAGCGTAAATAAGCTTGAGAAGATATGACCTTGAGAATTTGAAAGACCTGTATCTGGCAAACTATTGTGGCGATCTTGTCGTGACTTCCATATGACGTTGCCCTACACGTGCCCTCATTTTGACATGAGTATGGTCAACCAGGTATTTACGGTTTAGCGTAAATAAGCTTGAGAAGATATGACCTTGAGAATTTGAAAGACCTGTATCTGGCAAACTATTGTGGCGATCTTGTCGTGACTTCCATATGACGTTGCCCTACACGTGCCCTCATTTTGACATGAGTATGGTCAACCAGGTATTTACGGTTTAGCGTAAATAAGCTTGAGAAGATATGACCTTGAGAATTTGAAAGACCTGTATCTGGCAAACTATTGTGGCGATCTTGTCGTGACTTCCATATGACGTTGCCCTACACGTGCCCTCATTTTGACATGAGTATGGTCAACCAGGTATTTACGGTTTAGCGTAAATAAGCTTGAGAAGATATGACCTTGAGAATTTGAAAGACCTGTATCTGGCAAACTATTGTGGCGATCTTGTCGTGACTTCCATATGACGTTGCCCTACACGTGCCCTCATTTTGACATGAGTATGGTCAACCAGGTATTTACGGTTTAGCGTAAATAAGCTTGAGAAGATATGACCTTGAGAATTTGAAAGACCTGTATCTGGCAAACTATTGTGGCGATCTTGTCGTGACTTCCATATGACGTTGCCCTACACGTGCCCTCATTTTGACATGAGTATGGTCAACCAGGTATTTACGGTTTAGCGTAAATAAGCTTGAGAAGATATGACCTTGAGAATTTGAAAGACCTGTATCTGGCAAACTATTGTGGCGATCTTGTCGTGACTTCCATATGACGTTGCCCTACACGTGCCCTCATTTTGACATGAGTATGGTCAACCAGGTATTTACGGTTTAGCGTAAATAAGCTTGAGAAGATATGACCTTGAGAATTTGAAAGACCTGTATCTGGCAAACTATTGTGGCGATCTTGTCGTGACTTCCATATGACGTTGCCCTACACGTGCCCTCATTTTGACATGAGTATGGTCAACCAGGTATTTACGGTTTAGCGTAAATAAGCGTGAGAAGATATGACCTTGAGAATTTGAAAGACCTGTATCTGGCAAACTATTGTGGCGATCCTGTCGTGACTTCCATATGACGTTGCCCTACACGTGCCCTCATTTTGACATGAGTATGGTCAACCAGGTATTTACGGTTTAGCGTAAATAAGCGTGAGAAGATATGACCTTGAGAATTTGAAAGACCTGTATCTGGCAAACTATTGTGGCGATCCTGTCGTGACTTCCATATGACGTTGCCCTACACGTGCCCTCATTTTGACATGAGTATGGTCAACCAGGTATTTACGGTTTAGCGTAAATAAGCGTGAGAAGATATGACCTTGAGAATTTGAAAGACCTGTATCTGGCAAACTATTGTGGCGATCCTGTCGTGACTTCCATATGACGTTGACCTACACGTGCCCTCATTTTGACATGAGTATGGTCAACCAGGTATTTACGGTTTAGCGTAAATATGCGTGAGAAGATATGACCTTGAGAATCTGAAAGTAATGCCCCAACACTTGCTTGAAGGGGCTGACATCCATCACCAAAACCTCAGTCTTGACCTCAGAGGTCGCGACTGCTTCCTTCCACACTATTTTAGTCTGAGCTACTGACAAGTGTCGTCGAATGAACGACAAACAGACATCAAAAAGAGAGAGAACTTACCAGAATCTTCTGCAAGGCATTAACGGACTGATTGGCAACAGGCACACCGTTGATTTCTCGGATTTCGTCGCCGACGTGCAAAGTAGCTTGTCGGTGAATCATGCCCCCGTGCATGATTCTGGCCACTATACATTTCCCCTCCTCGTTCATCTTCAGGGTGATGCCCTGAAAAAGCCACTATATCAGAAACTGCCAACGATGTTCCACCCCACATTACATGATCCGCCAGTCTGGAACACGGCCTGGAAGGCAACGCTACGCCATCAAATGTGTACATAATTTACAAATAACGAGGCCTACTAAACTACTCACCACTCAAATCAAATGAGGCTGAGAAGGTTCAGCATGGGACCATTTCCAGGCTAATGTGGACACAACAAACAGCCTTGGGTTTCCATATCTACGGCGGGAAATTTCTTAACCAACCAAAGGGATATTAGTTTCTAAGAAGTTAGTCGATCAGGAAAATTCAAAAAATTAAAATAATTATTATATTTGTTTACCGTCAAATCACAATAAAATAGTAAGATAAGATAATTAAAATTATTAAAATATCATCTGTTTCGGTTTATCGATGTAAATCGAATGCTCGATATGGAACATAAGATGATATTTTAATAATTTTAATTATCTTATCTTACTATTTTATTGTGATTTGACGGTAAACAAATATAATAATTATTTTAATTAATATCACAATATGACGCAACTATACTATCTCATGCAAAAAAATTATTGACGGGAAACATAAGAGGATCTGCTGACTGTTTACAAGATATCTGATCCAGAAAATCAAGTCCTAGATTAAAAATAATAAATGTTTGATTATCTCTAATTTAGTTATAATGTACGTACGTTTGACCGAAACAGATTTCGATTATTTATCAACGAAAAATAAAAAAAAAATAATTTCGCATAAAATGAGAACTGTAATAGAATTGTACGAACAAAATGGAGATTCAATCACAAACATCAGAGTAGATTTCACTCAAATATTGATTCGGAAATTACAGGTGCATTCGAACAGAAAGAATGCTAATCTCATTATGTAATGGTTTTGTGACCGTAGATCAGTGACCGAATACAAATTTGTACCACAAATGTTGAAACACTATTCCCCTGATTACACTTCGCTTGTATATGTGATTTTCATATTTATAATTTCCGATGAACAAAGAAATATTCAGCCTGGAATGTGTTCGTTTAGTGTCCATAAAATTATTCTTCCACTTTTTCCTAAGCAAGTGTATAAATACCAAATTATGGAACATCGAATTACATGCACAAGCATTGCCCCCCCAGGGCCACATTAAGTAATGTGGGCCCCGGGCGAAGTGTTATATTGAATAAATTATTTTTTTTAGTAAGAAACTTCAGTTTTATACCAGCACAAAATGTATGTCAACAAACGCGAAAATTATAGAAAAGTTTTAAAAAATAATATAAAAATTATCTTTGTTTAAAAGTGGCTTTTCTAAACACAGTCGGTCCACTGAACAAGAAACAAAACACTCACCATCGGCTCGTCAGTGTTCTTTTGGAACTGCACGAGTCTCACTCTCGTCACATTTTCCATCTCGACGTCACCATTGGGCCCGTCCAGGTCGTCTCCGCCGTTGAGGTAAGGCATCAGGGGCGGTGGCGTGACCCGCACGGCATCTTCGCCGTAGATTTCGTGTGCGACGACGTCGTGGGCTTGCAGCAACGCCTGTCAACAAGGAATGACGATACAGACCCAAATGCAATCGGCTGAAAATATAAACACCCTGTAGGATTTGAGGTTTTTACGGCGCTAAGTCCGAAGATGGCTGTCTTCCGGGTTGTAGCGCCATGTAGTCTGGTAAAAGTTTATCGACGTTTCAGAGGTCCTTGCTGCCTCCATCATCAGGGCGATGAGTAACGTCCGTAAACTTCTACCAGAAGACAGCCATCACAGGGCTTATCGCCGTGAAAAACCTCTAATCCTAACTTCTTTCATTGTTTCAAACATTTCAGCGAGGAATATGTCCTTGCATAGGTCCTTTTTGCTGAAATGGGGGACTAAATAAAATTATTAACCGCATCTGTTATTCGCAAGCCTAGTAATATTATTTTTTTTAAAAAAATCAGGAGATTCAGCTGCATCTTGGAATGGTGAAGGCTGCAGATGACCAAGGTGGGTTTACGTTCCGCCTGAATTCGTTTAAATCATTTCATCCATCACGTGTTGTTTAGTGTCGTGTTAACACGTTCTACTGTACATATTTCTTGAGGTGTCGTGTTAACACGTTCTACTGTACATATTTCTTGAGGTGTCGTGTTAACACGTTCTACTACACATATTTCGTGCAGGGCGTAGCGTTTACAGAGCAGTGAGAAGTGCATATACTAAAAGTGTAAATCATAGTAAAATAAGTTCCACAGTTAAGTTCGGTGTTTTTAGAACAGGCAGGAACTGCTGTAGTACAGAGAACTTGATTTTATTTTATGGGCCGAGGCTTCACTCGTATTGGGAAAATCTTCTAGCACTTGGCGGCGAGTCATGTAATCCAACTGCGTTAAACTTTATCAGTGAACGTACTGTAGTAAGTACAGACGAGGTAAAAATTATATTACACTATTATTAAATAAATATAATAGAGCGTAGGCTGATTGAATATAATAATTTGGCGTTTATGTGGGGAAATGTTAAATCAAACCTTTTTTAGTCATATCACCTCCTGGAGTCAGGGTGAAATGAAAGGTGCCATTTTTCAAAGAGCACCTAATTTTTATCTCAAATTACATGTAAGTCCGTATCATGGAAAGGAAAATACATTCATGCACGTATTTTAAAATTTAAACGAAACTCCAAATTCAAATTGCCAAGATGTTTTAAATTATTTCTACATGTTTCTGACAGTGTATGAAATATGCCTCATATACCTCAGGTAATAGAATAACGTGTTAAGTCGTTCATCTCCAAAATGAAGACCTATAACGACAAAAATGTATTTCTTTTCCGTGTTTGGCAATACAGTCACGAAGCCTGCTATCCGTGGCACAACCTCCCTTTCCCGGAAATTAAACTCGGATTACCTTGGCGTTAAGCTTCCGACGCTGGACTTGGTAAGACCCTGCAGTTAAAAAAAATTTGGAAGTTCAAAGTAACGTAGGACAACTTCGCTGAAACTATTCTCATCGGAATTTACTTTACCAAACAATTATCGATACTTACCAATAAATAATAACTATCGATTACCAAATTCAAGGATTAATTCTAAAGACTCTTCCTCAGAGACGAAAAATGGATACTCGCAAAATTCATTCTGTTTTGAGCGCAGAACAATCAATTTTGTATTCATAAGTCACGGCTGTAAATTATAGAAAATGTGTGATGCAGAACTTTCCTTTTATATGAACTGAATTTACTTATAACTTAAGCAAGACGAATTCTGCATTTGTTCTTTTAAGTTTCGAGACTAATATGCCCTGAAATATGGTGCTTTTGCCATTGCTTTCAAAACTTTAAAACAAACAATTACAATTGCCGATTATACAGCTGCATTTTAAAGTTGTAGTTATTTATTTTACACCGCCTTCTTGTTTTGTTACATTATTTACAAAGTTAATTAAAATGCACATTGAAGATTAAAATATCATCCTGTGTAAATGGTCAGCGCCTTCTAATTTGTATAATGCAGTTCCGTATAAATGTTATATACTCTTTAACCTGAGGATGGAAGCAGATCCAGCTTCCGAAACGTAGAGTTCTTTACCCCCGGGAGAGAGCGCAACTGTAAATATTTTCTTTGCGGAATAAAGTGCCCCAGGAAGCCCGAAAAGTTCTATGTAACGTTTGCTTGCTATCAAACCCGCCCCAGGCCCGATTCTCGGGCCGGGTTCAGTCGAAGCCCGAGCAGACTCCCAAATTAAACCGTCCCTTGCCTGAAATAACTTTGAAAGTTAATTAAAAATAAATACATCGAGATTGATGACAACCATTAGTTTAAAAACCTATGTACATTTTCATAATTACTGAACTTTCTTTTCTACTGAATTTGTCATAAAACAAGGTACAGAGTCGGTATTTCAGCACCATTATGCACACATTCTCTTCGATGACGGTACAAATTAGAATTCTCCAGGCTCATTAGTACGCGAAACTCATCAAATGCTCGGAAATCATTAGTTTTAATTAGCCATAGTTGAAAGGTCTAGCACAAAGCCACTACAAATTTGGAGCAACACTTGGTTAGGGGACTTTGAAGTTTAAAGTGTGTAACAAAACTGGACTCGGTTCAATTGTCATAAGCAAATACCTCATTAATATTATCCCATATGGAACACTGCAACAGACGATATGAAACTTGAAAAATCAAAATTACATTTCATTTCTAATAACAGGTACTGAAGCTTAGTTTAAAGGACAAGAACATCATAAGAAAAATGAAAACTAAAAATCATTAAAAAACAGTAAAAAATCAGTAATTCAGTGAAAAGTTTATATACATAACACCAGATGATGGCTATATATAGCCGAAACATGTCGTGTATGTTCCACATGTAAATCGAGTACTCGATAGGGAACGTAAAATGATATTTTAATCTTTTAATTATATTATATTGTGATTGACGGCTAATTTTAATATATTTTTAATACTATTTAAATAAATCACAATATGACGCATCTACAATATCTTAACAAGGGTTATTAAGTATGCAAATTTCTTACAGTAAAACCTGAAAAATCGGGATGCTAAGTATGTTAATGAACCAGGTTAACAATCTCAAACAGTTGGTACAACTGCCCTGGTTCCATGTCTTGTCACAATCTTACGCCTCAACATGTAACGATAACGGATCTAACAACACAAGGTCCCGAAATTTATTTTGCCTCTAAAATAATGACAATCCCTCGAAATATTCTTCAATTTGCATTTTTAATTGTTATATCAACGGTAAACAACTGTCACAAACGCATGCTACCAACCTAAACAAAAATACATTTTGTAGACATAAAATTACTCATCTACTGAGGCTTAGTGAACATCCTTTACAATGCACTGGTACGATTTAATAGTTGTTAGAACAGCAGTCTAATATACAAAATATATTTCTCCTCCGACGTTCGTATTATGAATGTAGTCATGTTTAGTAAAGCGAACGAAAACTTTGCATTGCACATTAAAGTGAAAAATAAGACATCTCAGTATTTACATTAGAATATTGGTAATAAAAAAATATCGTAATTTAAACCTTCGGACATAAAAATAATGTGAATTCAAATTCTAGTAATATGATAATGAAAATGATAAATGTCTTGAAATGGTGAAATATAATTACAACATGAACATCGTTATATCCACAAACGATGCTATTTAAAAGAATATATCTTGCAATAACAGCACCGTTATGGATTGTAGAAGTTTAAAATGTAATAACAGATCGCAGATGCATCATTTATCCCGCACTTCAGGGACGGAACGACCCGTTCTGACAATCAAAACTGCATCTGTTACAGGTGCAGAGAGATGGATGCAATTCCAACATGCATCGAACTTAGCCGTGTTACCAGCAACGAAGCAAAATTACTTTCAGAATATCTGACAACGATCTGTTACAAATAGGCCACTATCGAAACAGGCCCTGGGAAAATATTAAAGCCATTCATTGTGGTATAAACTGCTAACGTTCAACATCGCCAGAATGTAACTAACTAACTAACTAGATGGCTTACCGAACCCGAAGGTCCATCACTGAATTAACCAAAGCCCTCCACCGGACTCTGTCCTGGGCCAACAAAATCCAGTCTCCTTCAACTCCTATCTCCCATAGATCCCGCCTGAGATTATCCTCCCATCTACGTC